ATAATAAAATATTAAGAATAATTATGAACTATAAACATAAAACATCGTAAAAATAATCACTTAACGATCAATAAAAACTAGTTTAAACATAAAAAAAATGGTGAGAGAATATGTTAATTTAAGACTGTTATAAATTAAAAGCAGATTTTAATAGATATTTATAGAGGTAAAATTTAAAAATAGGTTGATTAAACAATAATTTTAATTCGGCAGGTAAGTTGTTCCACACACGTGGAATAGCAACATGAAGTGCATTGTCGCAAAAATTAGTCAGTGTATTAACCATTGATAAATCATAATGAGATCGGCCTCGATTGGCACGATCTGTCTTCTAGGTCTAAAAGTTTTTTAGATTTCAAAATGGAAACCAATAAAGATAAAGTAAAATGTATGCGATGCTCACGAAAAGGTAAATTAGATAAAAATACTTAAGTTGGCGTAATATGATCTAATTTTTTTAACTCCTAAAACAAATCAAGCTAACCCGACATAGACCCATCCGACGATTTAACCACTTGAGATATGCCTGACAGAAACGACTCAATCCAGCAGCAAACTGAATTAGAGAAGCCCATAGAGCGTAGTTTGAATAATAAAATTTTAAATTTGACAACATCAACTGCACGTTTGAAGTCAACAACAACTAACAGTGTTATTGAACCTGTTGTTGATACATATAAATGTATAATTTCATCTACGATTGATATTACTAGTAATGACTTGTCTGCATATAAAAAAAATTGAGTCTCATAACGTACTAGACTTATCACTTATTAAGAATAAGTTCCAAAACCTAAGCTAAATTTTTAAATCGACCCTCAACACTAAAACGGAAGGGTCAAAGATTTTCAGAAAAATTATATATATGCGATTTCATCACTTGAGAGTAGATTAAAAGAAGAATTGAAAGTCAAACAAATAGTACATTGCATTACAAGGGACGAAGCTTGAGGATCCGCTCCTAGAAGAACAGTTGCCCCCCCCCCCTCCGAGGAAGCAAACCACCGGAACGAATTATGGAGCGACGTCCCGTGTAGTATATACTATTTTTCTTACTGCTTCAGCTGAAAATTCGTGGTTCATTAGCTATTAGAATACAATTAGCTTCAGTGGCGAGTATATGGTAATTGATTATGTTTAGGGCAAAAGTGAAGGTCCTGTATCATCCGCTAACATTTACGACCCGAGCGAAGCGAGGGTTGTTTGTTAGCGGATGTTAACAGGCCCGAAAAGCATAAAAAGTCGGTCAGAACAGTTTAATTTTATCAAAAATCTTTTAAAATTTTATTAGGTATTTAATGAC